TTAAAGTATCAAGTGAAAAACAGACAACAGCATTACTGCAGAAATCAGATCAGTACATTAGAAATCCTTGGTATGAACATTAAAAGATTGCACTATTGGTTTTAAAATTAAGCAAAAAAAATGAAATTCAATAGCTTCAGTTGCTGCTAAAACGCATTTTCGCTGATATTTTAAACTTATGCTTTATGTTTAGTTTTGAAATCATGTTATAATTGAATAAACAGTCAAACAAACAAAACAATGTGCTTGCATTTCGATCTAAAAAATATCATGTTTATTCTTAAAATTGGATGATGTAATTAGTTGAGATTGACGAGAAGTGTCTAAGTAAGCGGCATCAGAATATGCCTTAAAAAGATTTTTCTTCATAGACATGGTATGGTGTCATACAATAATGCTACAAGAAATAAAATGCATTTACTTTTAAAAGATTCTATATTAAAATTAAAATGTTTGAAGATTGTAAAAGTGGTCATTCATACTGAAATAAGCTTACTTTTTTCTAACTGATATTGAAATACAGATTTTCGTCACTCGACATGTATCTTGGAATATTGATAGAGATAATGCAAGATGCTACTGTACTGTTTAGCGACTACCATATGGCACATTATTGTCTGTACAGATCTGTTTTGCTCAATATTAACAAGAAAGAGAATTATAAATGGTCCTAATGAGGATAAAAACCAAACAAAATTCCCATGATGTTCGATTATTCAGAGAACGTTTATCTTCTATGAACCTCTAAAGCGTAATTCCCCGTGTTTAACACATTTAGAATAATTGATAACATTGATTGTGTGTTAAATCAACGACTTGGACAGACGTTCTGTGCGGTCAGCTAAACGACCCGCCATGCTGCGATTGAATAAACTTTAGTCTTCAATTTAATAATTATTAATCAATGTGGCCATACCACGTGACTTTTCGGGTACGGAACACGCCGATTTTTCACCCGATTCAGGTATGTTTTTTATTCACAACTTATTTATTACTCAACCGATTTTGATCAGATAAGGCGCAGAGTACCCGTAATTATATCAGCTATCAAACGGTATATCAAAATTCTGAAAACCCCTGAATGGTTTTTGAGAACATTCGAGTACAGTTTTCTTTTCATAGCCTGGGCCGAGGGGAACGGTACACACTCATTTGTCATAACAAGCAATTTCTAGCAAGTCATATGCTTTTTGACACTATTTCATAGAAAAATACATGTTAAATCTAATATATTTACTATGTCCAATGTATTTAGTGAATGCAGTGATGTTTTAGCATATTTTCATAAAGTTATGTTGAAATGATACGGAACACACTGTTATTTCAAAAGATACGGTACACACACAATTTCTGTGAAGCGTGATCTCTTGAAATATAGTGCACAAATACATGTAAACATTAAAAGTAAGCATTATGATACATTGCAAAACATGTCCCCGGGTTCTCGTTTAAATTAATAAAATGTATAACTATGAAAAAAATCACTCACATTATAATTTAAATTAATTTTTTTATATATTTTATAGAATTGTTTCAAAGACAGAAATTGTGTGTGTACCGTATCTTTTGAAATAACAGTGTGTTCCGTATCATTTCAACATAACTTTATGAAAATATGCTAAAACATCACTGCATTCACTAAATACATTGGACATAGTAAATATATCAGATTTAACATGTATTTTTCTATGAAATAGTGTCAAAAAACATATAACTTGCTAGAAATCGCCTGTTATGTCAAATGAGTGTGTACCGTTCCCCTCGGCCCAGGCTATGAAAAGAAAACTGTACTCGAATGTTCTCAAAAACCATTCAGGGGTTTTCAGAATTTTGATATACCGTGGATAACTGATATAATTACGGGTACTCTGCGCCTTATCTGATCAAAATCGGTTGAGTAATAAATAAGTTATGAATAAAAAACATACCTGAATCGGGGGAAAAATCGGCGTGTTCCGTACCCGAAAAGTCACGTGGTATGGCCACATTGTAATTCTCAGGCGAAAAGTTGTAAAGAAATACAATGACATGCGCTTTAATCAGCAACGTTAGTGTTCATCTGCATTGCTATTCAAAAAATTGGAGTCAAAAAATAGGAACCATTAGTAACAGACGTTAAGACATTTTCTTTGAAACGCAAAATTGTTACAGCTTTTGTTTTACTGACTTCTGACTGAAGACTTTCTATGAAATGCAAGCCTGGTCTTAGAGAAGTTACAGCATATGTTAAATGTTCTGCCACAATTAACTCGTTATCATCATTTAAACACTAGCTTGTTATCAGGGATATAACATATTTGATCGGATACAAATAACATTTCTCTGAGAGTTTTGAATGCAATATATAGATAAAATCATATTTAAATATCTCCCATAATCCCATAACACTTTATAAGGAATATTCTAAGTTGAACAATCTCTAAACTGTGGGTTTATGTTAAGGCACGTTACGTCCAAGAAATGCTTACTTAATATTTCTTAAATTCTCGTGTTTGGTGTCTTAACAGGTTATAATTTCTGATATATTACTCATTGACCAATTACCTTAATTATTATTTGCTTTTGTTGCTTTTTTGGCAATTAGTACAGATTTAGTGATTTAGTATTTTGTATGGAAGTCAAAATACCACTGCGTTTACATTTTATTACTTTTTTCACAAAAAGAAATCACATTCAACACTTATTTCTTAGGGTGATTATCACAATATAAACACGTGACAACAAAAGTTAGTGAGTTTTTGTTTTGTCAGAAGAATTAAGTAGACACTTTTATGATACTTTAAAGGGTATTCTGTCTACGTGCTTCGAGTCAGGGGGTCTCTATGGTTTCACAAAAACCTGTTTTGTTATCATTACAGACTGCCATAAATCAGGTACGTCTGTCGCCTAAAATAAAAGAATGAGACCTATAAAGTAGAGCTGTTTTGATAGACACATTCTGAAACAAGCCGCCATGGAATTAGTGTACAAATGAAATAAGACAATATATTTAGACAAGCAATCGCAAATTTGAAATAAGCGGAGTTGACTAATATATATATATATAGTCCATGGAACATTCAGAATTAGTATGATGTCTATGGACTATTGAGGATGACGTTCATGGACCATTTAGACCATTCCGTTTTATGTAAAAGTTGACTTCTTTTAAACGAACAAACTTACTACTACTTAAAACTACTACTACTACTGCTGCTGCTACTGCTGCTGCTGCTGCTGCTGCTGCTACTGCTACTGCTACTGCTACTGCTACTGCTAAGCTACTGCTACTGCTACTGCTAAGCTACTGCTACTGCTACTGCTAAGATACTGCTACTGCTAAGCTACTGCTAAGCTACTGCTACTGCTACTGCTAAGCTACTGCTAAGCTACTGCTAATGCTGCTGCTGCTGCTGCTACTACTACTTCTACTGCTACTGCTACTGCTACTACTACTACTACTACTTATTCCTGTTCTTCAATCATTATTTAAAGAATTAAAATTGCACCAAACCACTGTTTTGTTGTATAAAAAAGTTAATTACTTTGAAATGACTGTTATTTTTCATTTTCAAAGCTTATTCAAAATTGGTAACCGAGATATCACAAAGTGAAAACGCGAAATAGTCTTCATTCAGATAACGCAGCCATTATGTCGATACAAAATTAATTGTTTTCTTTCCAAATTATACACATCTATGAACAAAATGCGGAATCTTTTGAAATATGATGGATTGCCTATCAACTTAGGGGCAACAAAGTCATAAATGCGTGCTAAGAACGCGTTTAAACGTCAAATCATTCTCACCCAAACGCTTCTCCCTGTAATTTTGTATAGGGAAACAGACATGGATTCTATTATTACTGGATAGCTCATGTGTTTTTGGATGTTTTTATAAAAAACTATTGTGAAACATTTAGGACTAGTCACATCAATAGAAATGTTTAAAATTTTATTTAGGTCATAATAATGCAAAATCATATTTTGAGAAAATATGTGATAAAGCGTGTAACTAAATACACTTCGACGCAAATTAATGGACACAGTATTTTTTAATAAATTTGAAAGCAAATATACGGTTAAAAAATTTATATATAAATGGCAAAAATAACAAAAAGAATAATAAAATGCAATTGAGGCGGACTATTTTTGATTACTTCGTTGAAACAGAAAAGAGAAAGTCTTCAAAAAAGAAAGAAAGAAAGAAAGAAATGAAAAAAGGAAAAAAGAAAGGAAAAAAGAATGAAAGAAAGAATGTAAAGGAATGTCCCCCCTTCTGCTTGGGGGTTTGAAGGGGGCAGCAGAAAAGAATATGAAAGAATATTTTAGACTTGTGAGAGGCTAAAATGGTCAAAGGTCAACCTTAGGGTAACGTGTAGCCAAAGCTGAAAAGCCTGTGACTCTATCTCAATCCATTGAGAAGTTGCAGCACTTTGGAAACAGTTTTGATGGAAAAATTAACGCAAAATAGTGATTTTGGGCAATTTTGAGTTGTCCCCGCGTTGCCATGATAACAGGAAATTAAAGATTGAGTATGCCGTTACAAAGGCTATGGTCCAGTCAACATTTGCGCATTGAAGCTTTTTTTATAGTTTCATAGCGATTTGAATTTGTAACAGGAGGCTTTTCAATGAAAACATCCTTTCACAAAATGCTCATGCAGTAATGGTTTAATTAAGTTGAGATTTATTATTATATTTGAACAGATGTATGTTTGAACATGTAAGAAATATTTTTTTTTTATAAGAATATTATAAACAGTCAAACGCATTTGATTGACTACCAATATAACATTGGTTGCATGATCATTTATGAGTTGTCTCCCGTTTGGAGAAATTGATGCACATGTACGTATTAAATATTTTGGCTATGTTGATAACGCAGTGAACGTTTTCGACTTAATTCAACAATTTTTAGTTTAACTATCAGTAAAATGTTTTTTTTTTTAAAACGGGTAAAATATATAAACAATTAGTATAGATTCATTCATTGTTAGTATTCTGATTTTGTTATTTTTCAGTATTTGCCGCCGAGCCTAGTTTTGGTATACCAGCCACGAATGTGACGTTTGTTGAAGGAGAAACTGCAGTTCTAGAATGCTCAATACTTCATCTAACAGAAGATCACAATGTATGTATATAAAATACAGAAAAACGGAATCCCTACAGTTTTAATTATAGTCTGAAAATGTTTATGTTTCCTAACGGTTAACCTCGATCTGTTTAGGTTTTTTCCCCCAAAAAATTTTGTACCATTTTATGTAAGTCTGAATTAAAAACCTTTTGTAGCCCTGTTTTTACAGAATAATCATTTTTATTGTACAAAATGACCAAAAAACTGCATTTCTTTTTACTCGAATCGTGGCTTAATTCGTGCAAAGTCGATTTTCAATTCACCACGAAGAACTAGTATCTTTTTTATCATTTACATATATTTTTTTTCATTTAAAGTGCATTACTTGATCTATGCAAAAATTTTAAACTTATGTTGAAAGGTTTTTATAGTCAGTGGAGCTGTTTAAAATATGTCCAATTTTTATTTGTAAAATCAATAAACTCAGTATCACAAATGTTCGAGTATTTTCTGTTTGATAAATACATTATTTGTATATTAAAGGAACTTCACTGAGTTTTTTTGACAATACACGAATGGACATTTTTTTCCAGTTCATAGATTTTAATCTGCGTTCGACTTCAATAGATTAGTACTGTTCTCATATAATTACTCAATGAACAATAAGGACTTAATACATGTATGAATGTTTTAATTAAATAGCAACGAGGCTAGATAACTGCGATATGAATCTGATATGATATTTTTGACTCTTAAAATGAAAACGAAGCTAAATTGTTAATACCGGATCCAATGATGATTTATATTGCATCATCACGTGGTTCAAACGCTGGTGGTTCATTGGTTATATTTTGTAAGTTGTGAAATAAAGATAAACAGTGTGTATAAAATGTTTGGATATGATGTATGAGTCAATCAACATTTTCTTCATCAAGATCATTGGCTTATAAATATATAATATAATTGACTATCATTGGTGTTTACAATTTCGCGGAGGAAAAAACTATTATGACAAAGGGTTTGCTTCCCTGAAAAATTGCTTCCCGTTTTCTGTTTTCTTTCATACCTTAATAGTATTATTCCATTTGGTAAAACTATTTTTCTACGAATTCACACCGAGGACCGCTCACTTAATGCAGTTGCATGTGTGAACTTCCATTCCGAAAGACGGTAAATTTTATCGCATGACAAATGACCTGTTTTATAAGCAATTGAAGCATGTTGCCTAAAATGTCAACGCTTCCTTGAGAAAAGATAATTTCGAAATTGCTGGATTTAAAATATAACAAAACTTATCAAACCAATGCATTCTGTCAATATCATAAAGTAATAATATTCTTTAGAAAAACATAAAAAGGAATCTTAAAATATTCATCACATTTGAAACCTAAAAAAGTCTTGTATAAGGTCGAAGACTAACGATATTATGGAAGTTGTTTATCTTGCTATTTTTAACATTAACGTCGTTTTCCATCAGTCTATAGCGAGTTCCTCTCAACTCGATATTAAAGTCGCAATCGACTACGAAATGTCGCAATTTGATACAAGTATAAGCATTGCCCGTATTTATTGTTTTTAGTCAGAGTCGCGCTAGTTTGCATAATAAAACAATTTTCGGTATATTAGTTAGAAACCAGAACCGCGTAAAGACATGACCATTTTAATGAGCTATGACTTTTATGAATAATTTACGAGTACATAGCATGGCATTTTCAGTTGATTTTGTCATGCAATGGGTAGACAAGGAAAACCTTGTCGTAGGAAAAAATACACGAAGTTATTATGGGTTTGCATAAAACGATATCATGCTATTCTCTATGGTTTTGGTGTTTCTAATTGGTATAACGATGCTCCGTCAATTTGTGTTTTCTTCTTTGACAGAAAATTAGCATTTTGAAAGAGACATTTTTGATTATTGTAAACAGCGCTGTCAACATTCTAATTTGGTTGTATAAATTAAAATAAATACGGCATGTTTTTCTGAAAAAGCAAAATTACAAATTTTTACTTCCCTTTATTTAAGACCATTTCTTTAACTAAAAAAATATTAATGATGAATATCTAATGCAAGTGTTTAAAATTATGAAATATTCTAAAAGAGATTAAAATCGATCGCTCATCATAATCATCGTCGTTATCATCAAAGAAGACATCGTTATCATCATCAATATCATTATCACCATCGTCGCGTGACCGACTACTAATTTCCCACATTATTTCTGAATAACGGTGAGCCGCGTCATGACAAAACCAACGTAATGCGTTTGCGACCAGCATGGATCCAGACCAGTCTGCGCATCCACGCAGTCTGATCTGGATCCATACTGTTCGCTTACAAACCCTATTACAAGTAGAGAAACTGATAGCGAACAGCATGGATCCTGACCAGACTGCGCGGATGCTGGTCGCAAACCCATTATGTTGGTTTTGTCGTGACGCGGCTCAAATGAACATTAGACTCATTGTCCGAGATCAATTGTCTCAAAGAAAAAATGCCTAGCCCGTGGATCGAGCCAGCTTCCATTGAGTCACTAATCCAATGCTTTTTTGGTAAAAGAAAACTAGGCGTTATTGTGAGATGATGGTGAGGAAAAATAAACTTTATTGCATTAAAAATGAGGGTAGATGATATTTTAGGAAAATACTGTTCTTTGCTTTATTTGTGGGGGATTTGTAATGTGCCCTCATTTTTTTTCCCTTGTGGTGGAGGAGTTTAATTTAAGGGGTTGAGGCAACAATATTACAGCCATCGTTTATCTCTGCGTGGTCATAAGAGGTGAATAAATGGTTCCGAATAACTGGAGTCTATTAATCTTTTAGCTCTAGCAGGTAAGGAGGTTTTGAGCCCTTGCATTGCCTTTACGTTTAGTACACTCAATGTTAGCCAAAATCATGTTTCCCGTTTAGGTGCCATATGATGAATTGTTTTGGCGCGCCGTTAATCCAACCAAACAAACAAATCTTATTGTTGTTGTCGATGGTAGCAATAAAACAATATACACTTTATTCAACGAAATTAGCAAAAAAGCATACTAGAGTATACTTAATATTGATATAAAATTTAGCACCAGATTTTTTTTTCCATTTAGGTTGCGTGGACAGACGCACAAGGGTTTCCTCTTACACTAAATTCTAAACGACTAATTGACGATAAACGTATGAGTGTTGAGAGACCCCTGGAACAACTCTGGAACTTACATATACGTGATGTTAGATACTCAGACAGGGGGAAATATATATGTCAGATCAGTACAAGTCCTGAAAAACATAAAGATGTTATTTTGAATGTTATAGGTAAGTGAAAGAAACCACCACCAGCAACTACAAAAAAATAAATAATTAATTTAATTAATAAATTTAATAAAAATCAATCTTTGGAGACAAAACGTCGAATACTAAAAGAAAATCGTTTGTCTTTTATTGAACTGATTATATAGGCAAGTTATTGTCACTCATTCATGGAATCAAAGGGCATAAAGCTATATGTAATGAAATATTTTATAAAATTTATTGACAGTAAAATTATATGGGTTTTCATAATCTTATGACTGATTCTTCAAAGCGTTGCAACATGGAATGTCTGCCTCTCTGTTATTTCACATCCATGAATATTGTGCTGAAACAGAATATATAATAAAATGTTACGGAACAAAATACTATACTGTTATTATAAAAGAAGGGTTTTAACTATGTAGCAATGGTTTCTTTCATGAGCCATTCGCTTTTAAAGCAATATATTAACCATCGCCTGATAACCACGGCCTAACTATTACATGTTCTGCTTCTGATATGAGGAGAATACGAACAAAGTAGTTCCTACAACATGAATAGTAAAAACAGGTGCATAATCAAATAACATTAGTAAAGTTGATTACTTCTATATGAATAATTTGCTATATACTTAATAAAAAGTAGGGAACAATTAACATTCATCATCACTGGCATTTATTCTGTATTTAGTTATGAATATGTATATAGTCGAAGTACTTGAACGTAATTACCGTGTTATATGTCTTTTATTTGTTTATAGTTCCACCAATCATCATTGAACAATATTCAAGCACTGATATGACAGTACAAGAAGGCGATACAGTAACTATCGTGTGTAATGCCACTGGTGTACCGCAGCCAGAAATTAGCTGGTTCCGGTTTCTAACAGATCCTATGCAACAAAGAGAGAGTAAGAGAGAATTAAATCTGTTCTCCCCATAGAGATATTAAGCTTTTAGCCGTCCCTCGTAAACCGAAAATGAACGCTTATTGTCATTTTTATTATGCAATATGATGTTTTTTTTTGTGAACATTAGAAATGATGTTAGTCATTGTCTGGAGCTTTATGTCTCTAAATTGTCTGCTTGTATGATAACTTGTATGCTTGTATGACACATTCAATAGCATGCTGTCAATTCGGTCAAAATTTCATTGTTGAAAATCGTTTGATTTAAAAAGCTATAACTCTTTACAATGATGACAATTGAAAACAAGATAAATTGTACTTTTAAGAATAAAATTTTCCATTGAAAGGCACATTTTTCCTTAAAAAAATAAAAAAATCCGAGTAAATACTTACTTCTTTTGAAGGGGCAACATGAGTTATATAACGTTCAAATAATGGTATTTAAGCATGTTGGATGCTTGTTATTTGAAAAAGAAGCGCTAAATGTGAAATTACGGAAATTATTTGTTATAACAGTAGCACAATGTAAAGAATGCAATATTTGCCTTCCATATAAAATACTATATCAATATAACTGTATTTATCACCAAAAAGCAACAAATATAGAAGAAAAAATGATATAAACGACATAAAGTATGATATACATTTGATAAAGATATTTTGGGCTCTTTAAATTAATAAGAGGCTATATAGGATGAGATATGGCTTTGATATGAGTTTTTGGACTGTGGACACGAAACCGAAGCTATATTGGGTGCGATATAGATTTGATATGGAGTTTTAGACTCCTGAAATGAAATAGAGGCTAAATTAATACGTTTGGATCCAATAATGATTCTTATTGGTGCAAACGCTCAAAGTGCATCGGTTATATTTTATAAAGTGTGAAATAGAATAATGTAAATGTTCCATATCATAAAGAGTCCGGATTGAGATTTTGCATGAGACCAACCTTGTTTATTCTACAAAATTATTAGGCTAAATATTTACATTAATTATTGTTGATATATTTTAGAAATAGGGACTACTGGTGAGGTTTTGATAATCCACAACGTGTCCCGTGAGTGCGGAGGAACATACGTGTGTGAGGCTGAAAATGGGGTGGAGCCTAGTCAGTCACGTGAGATTAATCTAGTAGTTCAATGTAAGTGCTTACTAGTAAATGTTAAAAATGTTTACATGCAAGTATTGATTAGTCATATGCGACATAATCTTAAGCTATAATATATATTTATTTTTTTATTTTGTTTTCATGCATTTCCTATAAGACACATTGTTAAATTAAATGTTTAACAGCGTTTACCTTTTTTAGCTTTGTTCTGGTCGAGGGCTCTACAACGAAATTGTCCAGGGCTCTCATTTATACAGATCACCAAAAATGGGACAGAATCACTGTTAAGTAAGGGTGAAACGTAGGAAATTGAATTTGAAAATGATTCAAAATAAGTTCTTCTCAGCATCGAATAGATGATTAGTAGATATTGCCATCAAGAATATAGTATTTGGATGTAGTTCATTTGTATTCACATGTGTATGTTAAATAGTTTTGAGAGTGTATGATTTTATTTTATGTATTTGCACAGATCCACCAGAGGTTTTCTTGCCGTCTGCGAAACTTGGCCAGCATCCTGGCCGGGAGACTTTCTTACAGTGTGAGGTGACAGCCAATCCACATGGTACCATGTTCTGGGAAAGAGACGGGCATGATCTAATTGCTGACATGTAAATAAATCTTGTACATTACTGTATTTTTATATGTCTAACAAGACATATAATAAGGCTGTTACACCGATAATATAATGTAACCACCATTAGCTACATGTTATTACATGGATTTTAAGCTTTACACATTAAAACGTTTACTTGTATGACCAGATAACGCTATGTGGGTAAAAAAATTAGGGACGCTAAGATAACGTAAGCTATTTTTTCCATTTCATTTATAATTTTAAAGATTTCTTCAACCCCGCCCCGTCCCCGTTTATGTGTTCTCTGTTCGAACAACTTGTCCGTCCTTTTTTGTTGCAAACGATGGAAGATCGCCATTATGAATATGGCATTAATAATGTTAAGGAAATTGACAAAAAAATCCTTTGTCAATCCCAAATATTTTAAGCGCTTATTATTTAAAATATTGCCTTATTAAATTGTTTGAACTGTTTCAGAAGCGGAAAATTCAATGTGGAAATATTTGATACTGACTTCGAACAAAGAAAAATATTAAGCCTTCGAATACGTGAAATAAAAAATGAAGACTTTGGACGATATACATGTGTGGCAGATAACTTTGCTGGTGAAGATAAAGAAACAATGATATTGTATGGTAGGTTAAATTGTTATTATTAAAATTGTTGTGTAGTTTTCTTTGGTATTGCATAACTTATATAAATAATAGAAATTCAACAAAACTATATGCAACGAAATATATATTTTTTCTGCACTTGTAATTTTGTATACATACGCTTTTGTCTGGTCATACATTTGATATTGTCTGATCTTATATTTGTTATTGTCTGATCTTCTTACACTTGTTATGGTCGGTCTGGTCTTACAATTGTATTTTGTTAGGTCTTACACTTGTTATAAACTGGTCTTACACTTCTTATTATCTGGCCTTACATCTATTATCGTCTGTTCTTACATTTGTTATTTTCTGATCTTCTTACAAGTGTTATTGTCTGGTCCTGAACTTGTAATTGTCTGGTCTTATGATTTTCATTGTCTAATATATGTAATTGTTTAGTCTTACACTTGTTATTATCTGGTCTAATATTGTGTTTTGTCTTGTCTTACACTTGTCTTTGTTTGGTCTTACACTTTTTGTCTAATCTTGCACTCGTTATTGGACTTACACTTTTGATTGTATGGTTTTATATTGGTTTATACAGAATTTATTTTAGTTCTATTGTGTAGGAAGCTATAAACTTATAAACACACTTTTGAATCCTTGAACCAACCAGGACTGAGCAATGAGTGCAAAGTTTCTTGCTCAAGGAAACAACGACTTGCCCCTGACGGGGTTCGAACCCATGCGGCTAGCGATCATTAGATTACTAAGTCCGACGCGTTTACCACTCAGTTATGCCGCCATGGTCTTACACTTGATAATGTCCGATCTTACACTTGTAAATACCTGGCATTACAAGTATTCTATTCTGGTCTTACACTGGTAATTACATTTGTTATTAGATTGTCATACACATGTTTTTGTCTGACCTTACACTTGTTATTGTCTTGCCTTACTCTTGTTATTGTCAGGTTTTACACCTGTTATTGTCTGGTCTTATGTTGTATGACATATTGAATCTCTTTATTTCCATTATTTTTCAATGTAATGCTAGCATCCACCAGCTCAAATGTCGGTTTGATTACGAATGATTCCAAGTTTAGTTAATAACTTTAAGTGGGAACAAAAAGTTACCATCTAGTACCCGCCTGTTACATTTTAACAACATAGGAATGATTCTGATATAAATAATATCTCATCGGGGATTTAAAACATTTGAGTGCAGGAAAAGTGCAGTTTGATAATTTCATCTTAACACATGAATTGTTCCCGCTTGACAGTGTTATTAAATTATCGTTAATATTGTCATGATGCGCTGTTTTTGATACTTGTTTCAGACAATTTTTGTATAGCTATATTTACCGTTTTAACGGGAAAAAACCCCAGCAAACTCATCACATGACTTTTATTGTTTTACATATTTATATTATAATAATAATAATGATAATAATAATAATAATAATGATAATAATAATAATAATAATAATAATAATAATGATAATAATGATAATAATAATAATAATAATAATAATAATAATAATAATAATAATAATAATGATAATAGTAATAATAACAATAATAATAATAATAATAAAGACTTTATTTAACGATAGAACTCATTTGAACAACAAACCAAATTCCCATGAGGCACTCAACAAGGAGCAATATAAATTTTACATATTAAAACTATCGAAATACACAAATATTACATGTATGATATTATCAATTTGTATACTACGATGTGTGATAATATCTCAACTATAAGGTTTAAAATGGTTCACAGATGTAGCAGACTTGATATAATCAGGAAAAAGCCGTTCCAAATACAAGATCGAGAATAAAAAAAAAGTCTTATGAAATTGTTCAGTATTTATAACTATATTTTACGCGCGTGTAATATATATCGGCACTTTCTTTCTGTGTTTAGTATAATTATGTATATAATGTTGTTTGGGTTAAAATCAGTCACGTGATAAACATAATCTGACATTCTGTTGTCAGTTGATACAAACTTTTGGTTTAAACATATTATTTAAGCTCAATTGCTGAACAAGGTTTTGCAACTTATATAATCACTTTCGAGTCCGCTTCCTGGAACCAACCCGTTGCGGTACCATATGAAGAAACATGGTCGTGACCCGATTAGTGCTCGAACCCAAGATCCCTCAGTTGAGAGGCAGACACCTTAACCACTAGGCTACCGCTCCAAAACAAACTTTTATTAACGAGTTCAGGAACTTGTTATTAAGAAAGCACACATAATGCCTTTGCTCAATGCAATTAGACCCCTTTACACAACGTAGTAGAGATGTTATTTTTATATCATTATTTCGCTTTAATAAGCAATTTCTAATTGAAACTCATAACTAGTTAACTAGTTTTCTCATATAACGTAAATACCCTTGTTTGTTTTTTGTCATTGGATATTACACACGCAATATAATTTCCTCAGAAAATCTAGCAGTGACTAGATAATTAGAATAAATGAGGTTTAGTTGATCTAAGCTCATACATGGGAAATACGCCAGTCTCAGATTTGTACTGTTATGCTATAGCTCAGAAATTATAACTGCTTATGTCGCTGGGATTTATTTATATTATCTCATCACCTGGTGACAAGAAGTTTCATTCTTTTTGAGACGGTCGGTCTACTTGCATTGTTAGCTACATGCATTTTGAGTTTTGCTAAATATTTGGTGGATAATTTATAAAATTATATACTAATTGCCAATGCCCATGCCACATACACACTTAAACAATTAATTTTTTCAAATACCTTTTCAGCCAAATCGATTCAGTGGTTTACTCTTATATCTAAAATACAGTAATTTTATAGATACACATGTATATTATATATGTATCACACACATAATGAAATTATATGTGTTCTAGGTTGTTGATACATTTACCAGATTAATGACCCGAAGTTTTATATAAAAAAAACCTTTGTTTTCCAAACAGTACATGTTTTCTTGTTGGTACATTTACTAGACTATCCAAAGTTTTTTCTTCTTCTTTTAACATTTTTTTTTGCCAGTCAATCATTTATCGGAAAAAAACATGTTTTGCACGTTTCAGATTACTCCATTCACATGCGTCGACCGGAAACGACGACAGAAAGTCCAATAATTGTAATGCCGGATGACACGGGGCGCTGGAAACCACCGGAAACTAGACCCGAGTACAATCCTGGTAGACGCAATCACTATAATGGTAAATAATAAATTATGTGAAATGACATCACAGCATAATTTTCATTTTATAATTTAGTTGTGTTCAGCCATTGTTATATATGATAGAGTTAGCACGATAATTAATAAACTTAATGTTCCTTTTTTCATAAATTAATTTGAATCGAGATCGCCGAGCTATCGGCCTGCATCCACGCACAAACATTTGAATGAATCACGTTTTCACGTGTACGATTTTGAAATATTAAAAAAGAAAATCATTCATAAAGACCATTTTAATAACTTTCACAATTTATATATAAAAGATTGTGTTCTTTTTTTTTTCTTTTATTTCTGACAATATCATTATATACATACATAAAGTTCCATTTACTTGAAAGTAAATACTAAGCGTTATTACTTATGTGCATTTTCATGCCACAATAGTGCAACGAAGTTTTGATTAAAAAAGGTTGCGTTTATTTGGATCAGACAAACCCTTCACCTCAAATGAAACATAAATAACTGTATTGTGTTTCAGATTGTTCAAAAAATTGTTTTTCACATTCTTGAAAAGTTCATTTGATCACAAAATGCTCGATTAAAGTAAATCTATATTTGCGCCTGTGGTCGAGTGAGTGGAGACGATGACTTCAAAAACCCCGATGACTTGCCCCTCAGCAATGTCGGTTCGAATCTCGCACGGGCATTTGCCTGGATACTTTCATGTGAGGTAACTTACGGAATATCGGTGGTTCTACTCAGGTTCCCTTTTCATGTCTGAATAAATGCACGGAGGGGCACCTGAGGTCTTAACCCAACCAGTTAAGCTGGAAAGTCGCCATATATATGACTTTAAAAATATTTTGTGCGACGTAAAGTCAAACAAACAAAAAAAGAAAAGAAGAATCACATACACATTTCATCATGACTTAAAACATGAAAGAATGAAGGAATATTCATTGTTTAAAGCGTGTATTGCGATCGTTTCCATTGTTTAAAGCGTGTAATTGTGGTTGTTTTCATGGTCTAAAGCGGAAATTGTGTTAGTTTTCTTAATTGTTTAAATTGTTTATTTTCAGACGACAACAATGAAAATGTTGGAGCAATACACGGAGAAGGCGGATCAAATCAACTTTCCATGCCAGTGAAATATATATCTCTAATCGTTTTAATCAATTATTGGACAGTTTTCAACATGCTGACGTCATGACCTGATCCGGAAGTTTGATATCCCGTTACAAACCGGAAGTTCCATAGTGTTAACTGTACATATCTGTAATAAAGCTATATGAAACGATATTTCTAATATAAATTCTAAAGTCATTTATAACTTGTGATGTATTTGAAGTTTTTCTTGTGCATTTACATTGAATTATATGTAATTATACATGTAATTTGAACCATTATCAGTTTTAAATTTACTGGTGTCACAATCATTCTGAGTGTATTAAGATAAACATACAACAATTACTGTCCATACAATTAGCTCTACTATTCCAGTCATAAATTATGATTTGTGTGGTTTTATTGTTTATCGCACGGCTGTCACTTGGAAGAATATTTGATGAACTGACGTCAGATTCACGAATTTTAGGCAAAGGTGACACATAATTATGTGCTTCTGTGACGATATAGTCTACAGGAATATTTAAATGTTGTCACAAAGCATTATGTTACTACAAACGAGTTAAGCGTGGAAACATTGGCAACAAATTTATTACTGATACATCTACGAATATGAAGACATTTTGTATAACCCTGTTTGGACGATTGAAATGATTACCCGAAGCGCACGTCGATTTTTATACCGTTAAAACTTTACAGTGTAACTTGACCAAATTCTTTATTAGACTTTATAGTACTGTTTCATACATAATAAAAACGCAATAAAAAAAGACGTAACAAATGTGCAGTGTTATAAAAAGGCTTGATACATGTATTAAGTGTAAAATACTGCAAAGTTTACTGCACAATCATGAATATTAAAACTTATTACAAATTCTTCATTATATTCTTCATCCGCTTATTTAATCGGTCTGTGAAATGAATTATATTGGAATACTAATTAATCTATATCAAATTTAAACATTACATTAATGAATTGAAAAATACCGCATTCATTTGGTACAACACACATATCCAATTAATAATATGAGAACGCAACAGTATTTTTTTTCCATTAGATAAGGGAGAGAACTCTTGAAAAGAAATTGTTTAACTTATTTACGAGTTAACTTCCTTGCTTAATTAAAAAAATGTTTTTTTTTCTTTTGAATTATCGCGTCTCATGTCAATAAAAATCTAATTAAGTAATCTATATCCAGAAATAAAGACTGGTCAAAATTTAATTTCTTTTGATGCATTTTTTCTATGCTTTGTATTTTCCGCGCCTTTGAATTTTATTGCTGAAATATATAGGGTGATTTGTAACATTTAAAGGCGAATGCCAGGGTAACATATGGATATATAGTTTTCAATCTGGTTTATTTCCATATTTAACCTCAGCATTCGCCTTTAACAAAAAGTTAATACCCGCATTTTCCACATCAGTCTAAGGTATTTTTACAGAAAATAAACAGGTATAATTGAAATTACATCATAGTCTAAGTACAAGAGAACTTAAAGATGGTTGTGTGTTAATGATAAAAGTTACTTGTTTTTTTCTTCTACAATGAATATACTGTTATAGGAATAAGATAATTCTATTAAATATGTGATTATTTGAAAAAAAAGATTATAAAATTATATAAAAACTAATAAAACAGACAGAAATTTATATTTGCATATACAGTATGGTTTTTGTTTATAAGGCAGTCTACGTTACAGACGTGACTTTAGATGACTTTTTTGACCAATGAAAACAGAAGTAAACAGTCATTTCGAATTTGATATAATTGAGCCGTGCCATGGCAAAACCATCATAATGGGTTTGCGACCAGCATGGATCCAGACCAGCCTGCGCATCCGCGCAGTCTGATCAGGATCCATGCTGTTCGCTTACAAATTCTATAACAAGTAGAGAAACTGATAGCGAACAGCATGGATCCTGATCAGACTGCGCGGATGCGCAGGCTGGTCTGGATCCATGCTGGTCGCAAACCCATTATGTTGGTTTTGCCATGTCGCGGCTCATTTATATTTGCATAAACAATATGGTTTTTGTTTATAAAGCAGTCTTTGTTACAGATGTGACTGTAGATGACTTTTTTGACCAATGAAAACAGACGTAAACAGTCATTTCGAATTTGATATAATTATTCTTTTGTACATATTCAATATTGTAAATTTGCTGTTACAATTTAAGTAAATCGCTTGTCTGTTGAGTACAATCTTAAATTTTTGATGTATAAATGGCGACTGAGTCAAAGAATGTGTAATGTATGTTTGTATGAAAGGAAAATGAAACTGGTGAAGTTATCCTTTAGCACATTGTTTTATATGTTGATCTTTGATTCTGTTGTATTTTGTCTGCAGATTGAGATAAAAAACTGCGCTACAATCTTCATTTGTTGTTGCTGCTGTTGTTGTTGAAATTGTTTATATGCTGCAATAATGGATGAATTAGTTGTATTGATTGAATAAAGCTAAATGAAACCGTAGGCTGTGAGAAAATGACTAAACGTTCGCCATTATATTCAAATTGTACTGAAGGAACTTTTATGATAGTAATAAAGATAGAATGTACAGTTGTTCAGCCTGATATTGTTCACGCAGCTATATTGAATTCGGAATAACGTTAAAAAGGGGACATAATCAATAATCACATCAAGTCGGCATGAGTTATCTTTCTTTATGCGTGATCAAACAATATATCGTAACAATAAAATAAATAGTAGAAACTAAAAAGTCATACTGTAGGCATCTATTTATTTATAAAATAGCATACTGAACATATCAAATTAACATAACTTCAAACAATAGATAAAGTTTTTTAAACGATATAGGAAATGGTCCAGAAATAGCAACCGATTTACTTTTACTGATAAATTTTACGGAAAGTCCCGAAACCTTTGTCTTAATTTTGGCGTAATTTACCGAATACAATCGGCTGCTATTACTGGACCTTTACCTCGAAAGGCCACATAAAACGGAAGCAAAATCATGACATTTATTTTGCAGTAAAACTAATCTTTACATTAAAAACATACTAATTACTAAATAAACTTGTGGCTAAAAGTTTGTTTCAAACAATTAAAATACTTATTTCTAAATTATCTATTTATTTATTTCATTTATATTTTTATTTAATTTGGGAGGGGGATTGAGGGGGTAATATATCTTTAATACAGCTAAAAATCTTAACATGAGAAAAACTTTTTTAAAATTTTAAACTCTAGCAAAAATGAATCTTTATAAATTATACTCCTGAATGTATTCACTTCATGTCTATCTAGTTACAAACGGAGTAACCTTTCTTGAAATTTTCTCTCACTTACGATAGCAGATCTCAATAACCGCTAAAACTTTTATTGTAAATGGTTATAATATTGACCGATTTCTAAATTATCAAATTAAAATAAAATAATCAAAAATAAAGCGTGAATCTTAAGAATTGTTGCTTTTAAGTATAAATATAATTTCCATTTTACTGTAATCAAAAACATCACATTCTGATAGAAAAGTACATTGTTCATACATGTACAAATGAAAAAAATAAATCAAGGGAAGTAACTCTTTAAAAAATTCCGCTCGGTGTTTTAATGTATTACCTCCCATTAAATGATTTGAATTTATAATATAATTAACATGTAGGCCTCCAAATTGTTACATTTAAATATAATAATGACGAACAAACAACAATGTACGAATTCAAAATTTATAAACATATTTAAAGAGCATTAATACCAAAGTCACAAAACCACGGAAGGGGTTTTGAGTATACAGTATAGTATTTTGTTCGTGTTTTGTCGGTTATTTGAAATTCTATTTATTATTATCATCGTTTACGTTTTATTAACAGTTAATTTCAAATAATAAAAAATACAATCATTCTATCAGTAACTTTGTAATATATATAATGTACCAAAGATTAAAAAGCTATATCTTATGATTTTCATAGAATTTAAACAGTAAAATTATTTTGTTTTTATAATCAAATGGGCAATGCCCGGAAGAGTTGTAACATAAAATCATTAAAATGTCACATTTATTCAATACATATGAATATTGTATGGAAACAGAATAAAATGTTCCAGAACAAAAAATTATTCTGCTATTCAAAGAAGGTTCTGTTTAGATGCTCCAATCGCTCATAAGTAAATACACAAACGTATTTCTTTCAATCAGGTATTTTGGTTCAGGTATTTAAGAAGAATTTATTTTTCCAAATTCAAATAACAATTTTTTACAGCAGATACATGTATTAGCTTTATAACAAATTCACTAACTAAACTAATGACTGAGTATTAAAAAAGGGGAAAAAAGAAAGAAAAATGAAATGAAAAGAAAAGAAAAAACAAAACAAAAATTTTCTCATTATATCAAAGAAATTTAACTTTCAACAAAGTAAAACTTGCATTTTCTTTCACATTCAAAGATACAATTCATTACATTAAAAACAAAAAGCAACATACACGTTACACCGACTCTCAATTCTTTATAAAATGCTAGTATGACACAAACGAGCTTAGTTGAAGCACCATCAAATTAAAACACATCACATCTGATATGCCGCCGAGAGTAGAATTTTGTAAGATGTTGATATAATGATTCCAGAAATATACAAATGTGCAGTTATATACTGGGCGTGGTCTATCTTATTTATATAACATTTACTGTCAAAGCAGGTGAGTTTCAGATTAATGTTATTCATGTTTGATATTATAAAAGAGCCAAATCTAAATAACATGTGCATAAATAATTAAAAGCATCCATTTATTATAAGATGAATTAAAATTACAACAAACTTTTATTACCTAAACATTGTACCGTACTAAAGTACTCTAAAACAAATGGAAGTAACAATGGTGTTAAAGTCTATCTTTAAAGATTTTCATTTTTGTGTTTAAAGATACATTGACATATGTATGTTTTACTCTATTGAATTATTAATATGTGGAATCATCAATGAATTACTTGTTTAAAGAAAAATTGTCTTAAATGAATATTAAAATATGTTTTCCTATCAATATCATGTCAAAACAAACAATTGACAACTGGTATCTTATAATTTTACGATTGGAAACTGGTATCTTATAATTTTAATCTTTAAAATACAAATTTAAACGTAACCAAAATGAATAACAATTAAGTTCTGTTAAAAAAAGGGAGTTAACTCTATACAAACATTAAGAAGAGTTTTACCTCCCTTTATTACAATACGATTATGCATATAAAGAAATCAGAATGGTGATGTTTATGGCAGATTACCAGGTTTTTAGTACAACAAATAATCGTTTTATTCCTAAAACGTAAAAAAAGCGTTTTCTTAGACACGCAATCTATTTTAAGAAATAACTAATGTTTTTCTTCATGTTTTGACATCATATTATTTCTAGTGATTCTGAAAATATTCAGATATTATGATTACTGCACGAACTGGGATTACAGTCAGATGTGCTTAAAAAGTCAACGAAACAAACTTTTGTTCATGAGCACGTGACGATCCTTTACCGACGAATGGAAAGTAGTATATCGTTTGCGAAGCAAATGAGGTAAATATTGCGTTTGTTTGAAGACATCTTACAGGAAATATAATAATAACCCTGCTTTCAGGTGGTCTGAATACTTTCCCACGTGATTGGATTTCTATATTTAGACGGAGGTGCACTATTACACCGTCTTCCGGGAAGTGTAAAAGATTTGCTCTTCGGAATAAGAGTTTTAGTCCTATCAGTAAGACTCAGTTTTTGAATTGACATAGATTCTGATACCCAGTCTGGATGAATTATAAAATATTCCGGATGTGCACTTTTCGGATGCGTAAATAATCCACCGTCATAATCATATTTTGAATTTTTTGTTGCTGCTGATTTTGGTCTACATACTGAATGTGACGGACTACTTTTTGCACTAGAGCTTCTTGATGAAAGCGCAGACGACATTTCCCGCTCGCCTACAGATGCTGACATGTAAGCATGTGGGATTCGGACAAACTTCTCCATGGGCTTCACAGATGGATAGCTGTGGCTGTGCCATGGGTGCGATGGATTATTTCGCTTCAGGTACGAAGCCGTTTTATGATTCTGCTCTTGCATCATATTGAGACTTACTTTAGCCACTTGTAGCACACGCCTGGGGGATCTGAAATAAAATAATGATAAGCTTATAGAAAGTAAAACTGTATTAAATACCGTTTAAGAAAATCTTTTTTGTGGCATTTTATTGTGTGCATCATATATATAGACCATTTAAATAAACCGATCTATTCCTTCATTTATGGAATTGAATATAGATTTGAAAAATTCTTCACCGGAAGTACCATGATTATTACGCCATTGTCAAGATTGTAAATCCCTCGATAATAGTTAAAAAAAACGTTTTATAGTCTTTCATTAACGATTCTTTTCACTACCATATTGCTACTGTTTAAATCATGAGAAACTTGGTTGTCAACAAGCAGTTGTCGTAAAATCGATAACGTCTGCTGTAAGAACTTTGACACACCAGGCGTGTGATCAGTAATAGTAATAAAAACAACAGATGTTGCTTTTCCATTACTTGTAAAAACGGCTTGCTTTTATTTCCTATTATCAGAGCAGCAGAGTGGCAATAAATGGGATATTTTTTTTTACAACATGCCAATGTTTCTAGTCGATCTTTCCATTTTATTTCTCGGTGATATTGATTCCGAGTGACCAATTTCCCTTTGAGAAAATGTTTCTGGCATTAATCGAAACTTAAAGAGAGAATCTGCATATTTTCTGCAATTTACCAATAACTTCTACCACTATGGGAGTTTTCATTTATTGTTAAAAAAGAACATGTTTATTCATGAAAAGCAATTTGTAACATAACGTTCTTGCCATACACTTAAAAAAGATCGTACTAAAAGCGATATGCTATTCAAGCAAAAGATATAAAACAACAACCCAGTCAGAACCGGTTTTTCATATGGATAAAAAAAAATCCGCATTTATTTTAAAAAATCGGACTCTATTTGTATTAATCACAAGGGTTCATCTATCTCCAGTTACTAATATACCTGTCACTATCATCAGGCACTGGATTGGCCTTTGACACTGCCTTTATTGCATCAACCTGGGGCATCAGTACTGATGCAGGTCGTGCGCCTGAGTCGATATTGTTCACTTTCATCGACTGCACAAACCGGGCAGGGGGAGCTGTTTTAGGTCGCAAATGATGTCGTCTGACGTAAGCGCTTTTTAACGGTCCCCTCCGCGTCTCAGCTTTCTCCTTCTCCCTATGGTGTTTGTAGGACTTGAGAGCCCTTGACATAATGTAGTCATAATCGCTATCTAAATCTGTAAAAACAACAAAAACAAACAACTCCCTGAATAAAAAGAAACAATAAAAATAATCTACACTCACCAAATTCAATCTTAAGCGTATTCCTGACACACAAAATCAATCACAAAAGACGTAAATACTGATATTTTCTCTCACTGTATCATATCAGACGCACAACAAAATGTCCGCCATGTTAAAATGGTGGAAGATTTCCAATCGATCAATACAAATATTGGAACGTTACTCAGGGAAGATGCGGAGTAATTTCCAATGTTTTACAATTATGCAGTGAAAGGCTTTCTAATTTGCCTTAAACAAGTATCACCATGGATTTACCTATGAATGACACGTCTGAATTTGATTGTGAATAAAGTATAGAAATACTGTTTCTTTTTTTTTTAAAAGAGTTTAAAAGCTTGGTATTAATTATATATTATAAGCTAAGATATCGGACTTAAATTTTGCACCATATGCCTGCTTTAAAAATCGTTTAATATACAAAATATTGTAGTATATCATAAGCAATACAATTGGAAAACATGTAGACTTATCAATATAAGATTCAATGAGGTATTGCGTGACTAACGTGACTGTATTTCTATTTCTGTATCTGATAAACGAAATGTATAGCTTGAGGAAAAAATCTCTTTATTTATATAATTTTGCAAAAAAAAACTTATATTGCTCGGACATTTTCTAAATTGTACCGTGTATTGTTCACCCTCAGAAGCAGTATGTATTAATGCCATTTTCTTTATCATGAAGTTCTTGCAATTATCTTTTCATCTCCCTCGTGAATTTATACTTAATACACGTAGATAACGTTTTGATCGATCAAACAATATTTCAGAGAAGAACTATACGTAATATACCGTAATAAAATGGCAGTTATGCTATCCGACACAAAGGACCGCCAGTGTTTTATTATTGTGGAATAAAATTGATGTATATCAGATGTAAAAGCTAAACTACCTGTGTTTATTTAACTTTACTTCAAAGACGCTATGGTATAACTGTTTCTGGCAGTTTGTAATTATAGATTAATATTTTCTTACATTTTCTTCGCTTTGATAGAATAAAATCATTTTATTTGATTAACCTGTCTAATATTATACCCAATGACTGTCAAATATTATACCCAATGACTGTTAAATATTATACCCAATGACTGTCAAATATTATACACAATAACTGTCAAATATTATACCCAATGACTGTCAAATATTATACCCAATGGATGTCAAATATTATACACAATAACTGTCAAATATTATACCCAATGACTGTCAAATATTATACCCAATGACTGTCAAATATTATACCCAATAACTGTCAAATATTATACCCAATGACTGTCAAATATTATACCCAATGACTGTCAAATATTATACCCAATGACTGTCAAATATTATACACAATAACTGTCAAATATTATACCCAATAACTGTCAAATATTATACCCAATGACTGTTAAATATTATACCCAATGTCTGTCTAATATTATACCAAATGGATGTCAAATATTATACCCAATGACTGTCAAATATTATAGCCCCCAATGGGCTGTCAAATATTATACCCAATGACTGTCAAATATTATACCCAATGACTGTCAAATATTATACCCAATGACTGTCAAATATTATACCCAATGACTGTCAAATATTATACCCAATGGCTGTCTAATATTATACCCAATGGCTGTCAAATATTATACCCAATGAATGTCAAATATTATACCCAATGACTGTCTAATATTATACCCAATGTCTGTCAAATATTATACCCAATTACTGTCTAATATTATACCCAATGGGTGTCAAATATTATACCCAATGAATGTCAAATATTATACCCAATGACTGTCTAATATTTAACCCAATGTCTGTCAAATATTATACCCAATGGCTGTCAAATATTATACCCAATGTCTGTCAGATATTATACCCAATGTCTGTCAGATATTATACCCAATGACTGTCAAATATTATACCCAATGGCTGTCTAATATTATATCCAATGGCTGTCAAATATTATACCCAATGAACGTCAAATATTATACCCAATGACTGTCTAATATTATACCCAATGTCTGTCAAATATTGTACCCAATGACTGTCAAATATTATACCCAATGGCTGTCTAATATTATACCCAATGGCTGTCTAATATATATACCCAATGGCTGTCAAAATATTATACCCAATGACTGTCAAATATTATACCCAATGACTGTCAAATATTAAAACCCAATGGCTGTCTAATATTACACCCAATGACTGTCAAATATTATACCCAATGGCTGTCAAATATTATACCCAATGAATGTCAAATATTATACCCAATGAATGTCAAATATTATACCCAATGACTGTCAAATATATATACCCAATGTCTGTCAAATATTAAACACAATGACTGTCAAATATTATACCCAATGGCTGTCAAATATTATACCCCAATGTCTGTCAAATATTATACCCAATGACTGTCAAATATTATACCCATTGGCTGTCTAATATTATACCCAATGGCTGTCAAATATTATACCCAATGTCTGTCAAATATTATACCCAATGAATGTCAAATATTTATACCCAATGACTGTTTTAAATATTATACCCAATGACTGTTAAATATTATACCCAATGGCTGTCTAATATTCTTCTTCTTCTTCCGGGTAATGTGCTGGACCCCTCTGGAGCATCGTCGCACAATTAATATTATACCCAATGACTGTTAAATATTATACCCAATGGCTGTCTAATATTATACCCAATGACTGTCAAATATTATACCAAATGGCTGTCTAATATTATACCCAATGAATGTCAAATATTATACCCAATGGTTGTCAAATATTATACCCAATGAATGTCAAATATTATACCCAATGAATGTCTAATATTATACCCAATGGCTGTCAAATATTATACCCAATGGATGTCTAATATTATACCCAATGACTGTCAAATATTATACCCAATGACTGTCAAATATTATACCCAATGAATGTCTAATATTTTACCCAATGGCTGTCAAATATTATACCCAATGAATGTCTAATATTATACCCAATGGCTGTCAAATATTATACCAAATGACTGTCAAATATTATACTCAATGGATGTCAAATATTATACCCAATGACTGTAAAATATTATACTCAATGACTGTCAAATATTATACCCAATGACTGTCAAATATTATACCCAGTGAATGTCAAATATTATACCCAATGGTTGTCAAATATTATACCCAATGAATGTCAAATATTATACCCAATGGATGTCTAATATTATACCCAAGAACTGTCAAATATTATACCCAATGACTGTCAAATATTATACCCAATGTCTGTCAAATATTATACCCAATGTCTGTCAAATATTATACCCAATGACTGTCAAATATTATACCCATTGGCTGTCTAATATTATACCCAATGGCTGTCAAATATTATACCCAATGTCTGTCAAATATTATACCCAATGAATGTCAAATATTATACCCAATGACTGTTAAATATTATACCCAATGACTGTTAAATATTATACCCAATGGCTGTCTAATATTCTTCTTCTTCTTCCGGGTAATGTGCTGGACCCCTCTGGAGCATCGTCGCACAATTAATATTATACCCAATGACTGTTAAATATTATACCCAATGGCTGTCTAATATTATACCCAATGACTGTCAAATATTATACCAAATGGCTGTCTAATATTATACCCAATGAATGTCAAATATTATACCCAATGGTTGTCAAATATTATACCCAATGAATGTCAAATATTATACCCAATGGTTGTCAAAAATTATACCCAATGAATGTCAAATATTATACCCAATGGATGTCTAATATTATACCCAATGACTGTCAATATTATACCCAATGACTGTCAAATATTATTACCCAATGAATGTCTAATATTTTACCCAATGGCTGTCAAATATTATACCAATGAATGTCTAATATTATACCCAATGGCTGTCAAATATTATACCAATGACTGTCAAATATTATACTCAATGGATGTCAAATATTATACCCAATGACTGTTAAATATTATACTCAATGACTGTCAAATATATACCCAATGACTGTCCAAATATATATACCCAATGAATGTCAAATATTATACCAATGGTTGTCAAATATTATACCCAATGAATGTCAAATATTATACCCAATGGATGTCTAATATTATACCCAATGACTGTCAAATATTATACCCAATGGATGTCTAATATTATACCCAATGACTGTCAAATATTATACCCAATGACTGTCAAATATTATACCCAATGAATGTCTAATATTTTACCCAATGGCTGTCAAATATTATTACCCAATGAATGTCTAATATTATACCCAATGGCTGTCAAATATTTTACCCAATGACTGTCAAATATTATACTCAATGGATGTCAAATATTATACCCAATGACTGTTAAATATTATACTCAATGACTGTCAAATATTATACCCAATGGATGTCAAATATTATACCCAATGAATGTCAAATATTATACCCAATGGTTGTCAAATATTATACCCAATGAATGTCAAAATATTATACCCAATGGATGTCTAATATTATACCCAATGACTGTCAAATATTATACCCAATGAAACTGTCAAATATTATACCCAATGAATGTCTAATATTTTACCCAATGGCTGTCAAATATTATACCCAATGAATGTCTAATATTATACCCAATGGCTGTCAAATATTATACCCAATGACTGTCAAATATTATACTCAATGGATGTCAAATATTATACCCAATGACTGTTTAATATTATACTCAATGACTGTCAAATATTATACCCAATGACTGTCAAATATTATACCCAATGACTGTTAAATATTATATCCAATGACTGTCAAATATTATACCCAATGACTGTTAAATATTATACCCAATGACGGTTAAATATTATACCCAATGACTGTTAAATATTATATCCAATGACTGTCTAATATTATACCCAATGACTGTTAAATATTATACCAAATGACTGTCAAATATTATACCCAATGACTGTTAAATATTATACCCAATGACTGTCAAATATTATACCAAATGACTGTTAAATATTATACCCAATGGCTGTCTAATATTATACCCAATGACTGTCAAATATTATACCAAATGGCTGTCTTATATTATACCCAGTGAATGTCAAATATTATACCCAATGGTTGTCAAATATTATACCCAATGAATGTCAAATATTATACCCAATGGTTGTCAAATATTATACCCAATGAATGTCAAATATTATACCCAATGGATGTCTAATATTATACCCAATGACTGTCAAATATTATACCCAATGACTGTCAAATATTATACCCAATGAATGTCTAATATTATACCCAATGGCTGTCAAATATTATACCCAATGACTGTCAAATATTATACCCAATGGCTGTCAAATATTATACACAATGACTGTCAAATATTATACACAATGGATGTCAAATATTATACCCAATGACTGTCAAATATTATACCCAATGACTGTCAAATATTATACCCAATGACTGTCAAATATTATACCCAATGACTGTTAAATATTATATCCAATGACTGTCAAATATTATACCCAATGACTGTTAAATATTATACCCAATGACTGTTAAATATTATATCCAATGACTGTCAAATATTATACCAATGACTGTTAAATATTATACCCAATGACGGTAAAACATTATACCCAATGACTGTTAAATATTATACCCAATGACTGTCTAATATTATACCCAATGGCTGTCTATTATTATACCCAATGACTGTCAAATATTATACCTAATGAATGTTAAATATTATACCCAATGGGTGTCAAATATTATACCCAATGTCTCTCAAATATTATACCCAATGACTGTCAAATATTATACCCAATGACTGTCAAATATTATACCCAACGACTGTCTAATATTATACCCAATGACTGTTAAATATTATACCCAATGACTGTGAAATATTATACCCAATGACTGTTAAATATTATACCCAATGGCTGTCAAATATTATACCCAATGACTGTTAAATATTGTACCCAATGGCTGTCAAATATTATACCCAATGTCTGTCAAATATTATACCCAATGGCTGTCTAATATTATACCAAATGAATTTCTAATTACATACACAATGGCTGTCAAATATTATACCCAATGACTGTCTAATATTATACACAATAGCTGTCTAATATTATACCCAATAACTGTCAAATATTATACCCCATAACTGTCATATATTATACCTGTACAGGTACCAACCGGCCGATACCTTATATTTCAGCTTTCAAACCTTACCTAAATGTGGGTAAACTGGTTGTACAATATCTGTCTGATGAAGACCTATGATATTCATGATTTACAGACGCTTGTAGAAAACACTTATTAACAGACGCTTGTAAGTAATTTCACTGAAAATAATAATCGTAATTTTGTCTACGCGATACACATTTCTATAATTATATCCTTTAACTTTCTCCTAAATATCCACATGAATAACACTAAAATCTCTTTCAGCTTCTTTATATTCATTCACCAGTTTTCATTTTCGATTCCGTTCCTTATATTAATCATTACTGAACACAATTCTTTTATAGCAATTTAAATACGGAGTACAGAAAGGATCCACTTAAAATTTCATGCATAAGAGGTACGAATATTCTTCATCGACCTTTTGTCCCGACTTTTGCTAAAAGGAAAACGGAATTTCCGCATTTATATATATTTTGAAATATATTTTAATAGTTTGTTTCCCATAATCTATAATGAAATTCTGTTTATTTATCCACAATTTATTTATACTTCAAATTTCATATCTTATTTGATTAGTTCCGTTCAGTGACAAAGTTATTCTAATTTATCTTAATTTAAAATTCAATTCTTATTGTACTTCACGTATGAAACTAGATTAATCAAATATTGTTTTGTTGTTCAAAATCTTAGTAAATTACGGTGCAGCTATCTGATACTAAAAGTCGATCGTTAGATCTTTATACAAAAGTTTTATAAATAATTGCCGATTGTTTTAATGAACACATGGTCTTAATGATCTAAGATAGGTTGAATACTGCCAAATTATCTACAAACAGAGCTTATATCGTGTGAAATTTGAACCTGAATTAGATAAACACGAATTCATCGAGTTTTAATCGGACCTATCAATAGCTTTATTTGTTTTTCATCGGAAAATATAAGGTATTGAAATTTTTGAATAGTCTTTAAATTACGATCGTACGGATAGATTATTGGACTTTTAGGAAAAATAATGAAAACTTATTGTGAAGAAATTTGACACACTTATGTCATAATACGAACGCTATAAAATAGTCCGGCTCAATTACGTATCCCGCCATCGGCCTTTTTGTAAGTTAGACAAAAGGCACGATCCGAGAGGATCCGATTTCGCTCGCGTATAATACACCATATACTGTTTAATAGACAAGATCCGATATGCGTGTGTCAATTAAAACAAAAGACATTAATTATGCATTGAAATAAGAAACTTAATAGATTATTACATAACTCTTTATCTTTCATGAAAAGAGTCGTTCTTTTCTGACATAGCAAATTTACTGTTTTCACAATTTTTATATGTTTTTAAATTACAGCTGATTTGTTGAATTGAAGTTAAATTCAAAGACGACATGTGAAAGTTTAGACTTATCATAAACATATTTATTTTGTTCTGTTCTGTTCTGTTTATTTTAAAGTACTACCGACAGCGTTATTGACTATAGCAATTAATCAAACATCAAAAGGTTGTATGCTCAAAGCATGCTTAAAATGTTTATGTTTTTAATTTCTAAGTTTCGGTGCCTTTTCATAAATAATTATTACGACCCCCAACCCATTTGTATGGCGCCTTCGACTCTTTTTTCTTATTGCTTTCCGACATACGTTCTTTTGTTTACCAAACAAAATCATCTAAACAAACCAATGTTCTTTTATAATGACTATAAACACTAAAAATTTCATTTCTCTTTCCTAAACCTGTTTTTTTTTCACCAACCGCCATCTAACCGATTCAGCGTAAGAATCGTTACGAAATTGCTTAGCAATTAGTATTCACGCAAACACGATGGAATTTGTGTCCCTCTACATTGCATCAAATTTAAAATGTCAATCATTAGAGATAGTAAAACTGATGACAGTAGTAAAGAGATAAAATGTACTATTATACACTGCCGATAAACAAAGCACGCTAATAAATATGCAAAGTAACATGTCGATGCGCAAGACACACAGTCGATACTCAAGGGATACGGCCGACATATAAAGCACCATGTCAATACACAAAGCACCCCGCCGCTAATGCGTAAAATACCAGCCGTTACACTAAGCACACTACCGATAGATAATACACCAAGCACCCTGTCCCTGTCGATACATAAAGCACTCTGTCGATACATAAATCACCCTGTTGATACATAAATCACCCTGTCGATACACAAATCACCCTGTCGATAAATAAAATCACCCTGTCAATACAGAAATCTATCTGTCGATACATAAATCACCCTGTCGATACATAAATCACCCAGTCGTTACATAAATCACCCTGTCGATACACAAATCACCCTGTCGTTACATAAATCACCCTGTCGATACACATATTACCCTGTCGATACATAAATCACCCTGTCGTTACATAATTTACCCTGTCGATACACAAATCATCCTGTCGTTACATAAATCACCCTGTCGATACACATATTACCCTTTCGATACATAAATCACCCTGTCGATACATAAAGCACCCTGTCGATACAGAAATCACCCTGTCGATACAGAAATCACACTGTCGATACATGAATCACCCTGTCGATACACAAATCACCCTGTCGATACATAAATCACCCTGTCGATACACAAACCACCCTGTCGATACATAAATCACCCTGTCGATACACATATTACCCTGTCGATACACAAATCACCCTGTCGATACATAAATCACCCTGTCGATACACATATTACCCTGTCGATACACAAATCACCCTGTCGTTACATAAATCACCCTGTCGATACACATATTACCCTGTCGTTACATAAATCACCCTGTCGATACACAAACCACCCTGTCGATACATAAATCACCCTGTCGATACACATATTACCCTGTCGATACACAAATCACCCTGTCGATACATAAATCACCCTGTCGATACACAAATCACCCTGTCGTTACATAAATCACCCTGTCGATACACAAATCACCCTGTCGTTACATAAATCACCCTGTCGATACATAAATCACCCTGGCGATACACAAATCACCCTGTTGATACATAAATCACCCTGTCGTTACACAAATCACCCTGTCGATACACAAATCACCCTGTCGATACACAAAGCACCCTGTCGATACACAAAGCACCCTTTCGATACACAAATCACCCTGTCGTTACATAAATCACCCTGTCGATACATAAATCACCCTGTCGATACACAAATCACCCTGTCGATACATAAATCACCCTGTCGTTATACAAATCACCCTGTCGATACACAAATCACCCGTCGATACACAAAGCACCCTGTCGATACACAAAGCACCCTTTCGATACACAAATCACCCTGTCGATACATAAATCACCCTGTCGTTACACAAATCACCCTGTCGATACACAAAGCACCCTGTCGATACACAAAGCACCCTTTCGATACACAAATCACCTTGTCGGTACATTAATCACCCTGTCGATACACAAATCACCCTGTCGTTACATAAATCACCCTGTCGATACATATATATACCCTGTCGATACACAAATCACCCTGTCGATACACAACCACCCTGTCTATACATAAATCACCCTGTCGTTACACAAATCACCCTGTCGATACATAAATCACCATGTAGATACACAAATCACCCTGTCGTTACATAAATCACCCTGTCGATACACAAACCACCCTGTCGATACATAAATCACCCCGTCGATACACAAATCACCCTGTCGTTACATAAATCACCCTGTCGATACACATATTACCCTGTCGATACACAAACCACCCTGTCGATACACAAACCACCCTGTCGATACATAAATCATCCTGTCGATACAGAAATCACCCTGTCGATACATAAATCACCTTGTCGATACATAAATCACCCTGTCGATACACAAATCACCCTGTCGATACAGAAATCACACTGTCGATACAGAAATCACCCTGTCGATACATAAATCACCCTGTCGATACACAAATCACCCTGTCGATACATAAATCACCCTGTCGATACACAAATCACCCTGTCGATACATAAATCACACTGTCGATACATAAATCACCCTGTCGATACACAAATCACCCTGTCGATACATAAATCACCCTGTCGATACACAAATCACCCTGTCGATACAGAAATCACTCTTTCGATACACAAATCACCCTGTCGTAACATAAATCACCCTGTCGATACACAAATCACCCTGTCGATACACAAAACACTGTCGATACACAAATCACCCTGTCGATACAGAAATCACACTGTCGATACAGAAATCACCCTGTCGTTACACAAATCACACTGTCGATACAGAAATGACCCTGTCGATACACAAATCTCCCTGTCGATACAGAAATCACACTGTCGATACAGAAATCACACTGTCGATACATAAATCACCCTGTCGATACACAAATCACCCTGTCGATACACAAATCACAGTGTCGATACACAAATCACACTGTCGATACACATATTACCCTGTCGATACACAAATCACCCTGTCGATACATAAATCACCCTGTCGATACATAAATCACACTGTCGATACATAAATCACGCTGTCGATATAGAAATCACACTGTCGATACAGAAATCACAATGTCGATACATAAATCACCCTGTCGATACACAAATCACACTGTCGATACAGAAATCACCCTGTCGATACACAAATCACCCTGTCGATACAGAAATCACACTGTCGATACACAAATCACACTGTCGATACATAAATCACCCTGTCGATACACAAATCACCATGTCGATACATAAATCACACTGTCGATACATAAATCACCCTGTCGATACAGAAATCACCCTGTCGATACACAAATCACCCTGTCGATACAGAAATCACACTGTCGAAACATTTAGGGAATATTTATTAACAACAATATAAGTGAAAATTTACGCCGTCTGATTGCCAGATAAAGTAAAGTTTCTCAAGTCTGAGCAGCACTCATACAATAATCATACTTATTTGACCTTGTTCCAGGCAGCAAGCAGTTGAATCTTTATCACACTTATCATATTGAAGTGAAAGCATACCGATTTGAAATGATACTCACCATAATTGGAGGCTACGGGAACCCTGATTGCGTAGTTCTGACTGTCAGTCTGAAAAGACAGATTTTAATATGAGAAACAGTTAGTATATGTTATATGAGAAAGACAACAGTTAGCTGTTATATGAGACAACAATAAGAATATATTATATGAGAGATATGCAAGTTAGTTCATGCTATATGAGAGAGACAAAAGTTACCATATGCTAAATATATGGGACAGCAGTCAGTATATATTATATGAGAAAGAAACCATTTAATAGACATGCATGTTATATGAGATAGACAAAAGCAAGCATTGTTTAAACGAAAGAGATACCATTTGGTATACGTGTATGTTATAAATGAAAATGATACAAGTTAGTATATGATATAAAAGAAAGACACCAGTTAATGTACGTTATATGACAGAGACAATATTAAGTATATGATATAAAAGAAAAAAGCCAGTTATTATACAATTATTGACTAGCCATTGAATATGATGTGATATTCACCGGCAGATGACATATTGACCGAGGCGATAGCCGAGGTCAATATGACTTTCTGCCGGTGAATATCACATCATATTCAATGGCTCAATAGTCAATAATTGTTTTATTATATGATAAGGCTAAGAAATAAAAAAAGAATCACGAAAAGTACAACCTT